TAATAATAATAATAATAATAATAATAATAATAATAATAATAATAATAATAATAATAATAATAATGATTTAATAAGTGGAAAGGATGGAAACGAAGTTAACTGCACAAATAATGCGGCGCTACTCATGCAGATGATAACAATGGATGAACCCTTACAACGCAACGCTATTCTTTATGAGTGGAGTGATGAACATGATGATTTGTATGTTCAGTTTACGGAAAAAGAACTTGAAATCATAGAGAAGGAAAAAGAACGTGAGGCAGCAGCGGCAGCAGAAAACAATGCGATACTCCAACAAACAGCTAATAGTTTTCGTGATCAACCTATTACTATGATTGAGATTCGAAAAGGAAATCAATCCGCTGGATTCATGCAGGCTTTTCGTCAGGCCCAACAAAAACGACAACAACTACGTGATCGTGGTGGAACTTTTGATTTTTCATCATACTTTACAACTGCTGTAGTTCCTCAACGATTATTAGATCTTCAGGAGGATGATCGTTGTCGTTTTGAGCTCGCGGATATAAAAGCCGCCTTTGAAGATGATATGCGGGATATGCATGAGATGGAAACTGTAGTGGTGTATGAGAATGAAGAACGAGAGGTGGACACGAATGGACGACGACGTTGGCGACCACATCTTACATTTCCCTTTGATGATGAAAATGGAGAAGTTGTGGATATCACCACTCTGAATGCCACTGCCACTATTAGAAAAGGAAATACAACAACAACCTCATTAGGGGGAATTACTTCACCTACTACTATGACTACACCAACACCAACAACAATAACAACAACAACAACAACAGCAGCAGCAGCAGTCTCTACAGGATGGCGATGGGCTAATCTCAATACAGATGGAAACTCATCATCACTACCGAGTGGATCGAGACTGGCGAGGAGAGAATTACATCCTTGGCGTGTGGGTGAATGGCTGTACGCAACCCGTTGGCCCACAAGGGAAGAAGAGCAGCAGGGCACATTTGAGTGGAAAACATCTATGGATGGTGTGGAGGCTAAAGTGCGCCGACGTCGATTATCACGTGATCGCATAAATCTCACTATGGAAGCCGCAAAAGAGCAGCGGCGTCAGGAGTATCTGAAGAAATTGGAAGAAGTGCGTATGGAATTAGGCCTATAGGTGGAAAAAGTGTTTTTTTTTTTTTTCTTTTTCTTTTTTTCCTTTTTCCTTGTTGTTGTTGTTTTCTCTTTTTCTTTTTGTCTTGCTTTTTCTTGAGACTGTTTTTCAGTGATATTGCAGAGGAATGGGATAATTCATATATATATATATATATATATATATATGAATATGAAAGAAAAAGAAAAAAAACACAAACCACAAGAGATACGGAAATATATATATATATATATATGTCTCTACTTGAGAATGTGAGAGACTGTTTTTTTTTTTATTGTTTTGTTTTGATGTATGATCTTGTCGAAACGGTTTACTGTAATTACACCAAAAACAAGAAGGGGGTGATTTCATTGGCTGATTGTGAATATCCAATTGGTGCTAATTCTGCTTTCGAAATAATTGACTTATAATTCTATTTGCTTGTGTTTCTTTTTTTTTTTGTTTTCTCCCATCAAATTCTTCTCGAATGATGCTTCTTTATTCTTTTTACTGTTATTATTCTTTCATGCTACTATGAAATGATGTTATCACTCTTTCTTTATATATACTTCTTTGTTTACGGTTTTCTTTTTTTTTTTTGTTTATATATATAAACAGGCTAACACAGCCGTAAAAAGGAAAAAAAAAAAAAAATCACTCCCCCTCAACAGAAAAAAAAACTATAGTGAGGATCAGAAATCGAAACACATATAAAATAAACACAAAAATAAGAAAAAAATATATAAATAAACTTAGTTATGGAAGGGCGAGTGTGTGCTATTTTTGTCGTAGTACAGTTCTTAGGTGGTTCTATCGATATACTTGACTTTTTCCACCGTGCGTGGAATGCGGAATTATTACGAAATGCCGCTGCTGTTCCTACTGGCTGTCTTCTTCGTTTTCCCCTCTTGCGCCTGCAGGACCCGCATACACCTCATACAACTAATATTGGTAGTGGTGTAGTGGCATCTCTTCACAGTAGCGGGGCATTACGAGTGGCGACCAGCGGCTCTATTGAACACGCACTCGCGATTGCAGACTTTGTGCATGCGTACGTTTCCCGGCGTTTACCAGCGGCGTATACTTCTCTTGGAGCTACAAAGAGTATTACCTTTTTTCAAGTGGTTCTCTATCCTGCACCTTCACAACAGGAAGGAACGCATAATAATAATAATAGTAATAGTAATAGTAATAAGAAAACGGGTAAGAAGAAACAGGAGGTGGAGGAGGTGGATACTTCAGAGAATGGAGCCAAATGGTTACGGGAACGAATAGCATTTTATACCTCTACCAGTCATCATCATCATCATACCTATACTACATCCACTAGTGGAATGGGAGGTATAATGAATAATAATAATAATAATAATAATAATAATAATAGTGAAGTATATACACATTGGTGGCGTTATGTTACGGATATTTCCGTAGCCCCGCAACAGTATCGGCGTACATTACGTATTGTGTGTCACTTTAAAACCCCACCAGTCTCTCATACTATTCCACAGACCATTAATAATATTAATAATAATCATAATCATATTAATGATATTAATAATAATATGAATAATTCTATTCAAACAATCGAACGGGATGCGGATGCCTTCTTCTTTGGTAGTGAACTCATGTCTGTGATTCCAATGGGAAGTGTATTTGTGGCTGCCCCGCACAGTACCGGTGGACGTAAACGATCCCGACGCGAAGATGAAATGGAAATGTTTAGTCATCATCATCCTGATGATAATAATCATGAGGATCCCTCTCAGGCAGTAGAGCCCAATATAGAAGAAGAAGAAGAAGAAGAAGAAGAAGAAGAGAAAATAACAACACCTCTGAAGGAAGAAAAAGAAGAAAAAGAGAAAGAGGAAAAAGAAAGAGTTCCTATGGTATCTCTCTGCCCTTTAGTGCCAAAGGCGCAGTTGAAGGTGGAGGCATTAGTGTACCGCACGGGTCGTGTGTTTGTGACCGCTGACTCCGTAGAGGCGTTATCATTTGTAGTGGAACAGGTGCTACTGCCGTTATTTCGAAAAGATGGCACTATTGAATTTAATTAATGGATTATTATTATTATTATTATTATTATTTGGCGGAGATGAAGCTATTCCTCCTTTCATCCCTTTCAAAGAAGAAAAAAGAAGAAGGGATGAAAGGATTTAAAGAGAAAACAGGGATATAACTGTATTAAACAGTGGTGATATTATGTGTTCTTTTTTTTTTTTCTTTACCTTGTGGAACAGTTTTTTTTTCCTATTCTTCTTATTCTTTGTTGTTGTTGTTGCTACATTTATGAGTTTTTTATTTATTTAATATATATATTATGTAACTGTGTATATTGTATATATCATGTGTAAAGAAGAAAAAAAGAAAAGAAAGAGAGATTTAAACCAATATGGTTGTTATCTATTTATATGTGTATGTTTTCACCCTTTACTTTATAAAGTATCTCTCACTCATATTTGTTTCTCATCACTTCTCTATGTTTACAATAGAAGTATAGGTTCAAATCCAGAGTTCACAAGAATAAAGGAAGTATATATATTTATTTATATATATTTATCATAGATTTTTACCTCATAGCCATAACGTTTTTTTATTTTGTTGGTAACAGAAGGAGTTTTTACCAGTAGTGTTAAATAACGAAGATTTGGTTCCCAGTGGTACACATAAAGAGGTACATCAAAAATAATAATAATAATAATAATAATAAAAAGAAAAATAGAAAGAAATATATAAAGCATATATATATATATATTTACGCGTACATAAAAATAAAGAAAAATAAAATAAAAGAAATAAAATATATATTTATAGAAACAGAGACCAGAGACCAGAGAAGAAAAAAAAGAGAGAGAGATAACGATAGAAAGGTACACTATTTAAGTGAGTTTATTGTGAACCTTGTCAAGATGCAAACACCACCATCATTTCTCAGTAATCTCTCTACACCGTCTGCTGCAGAGGGATTGAAATCCCCTATTTCCCTAACCACCACAACAAAACAACAGCATCAACAACAGGAAGAAGAATTAGAGGAACAAAGGTTAAGAAACTCACCGCAATTTATTACATGTTCAGATGAAAACGCAATGCCTACATTATCGAATATGTATAGTAGAAATACTTCTTCACCCTTTGTCACCACCTCACGTGGATCTCGTCGATCTAAACATCAAAAAACCCGTATTGGTATTAGTAATAGTTCCTTTGATGATATGTTGAGTTTTGCCACTCCTCTCTCTCCAGCTCCACCGCATTGTGGCTTTGATGTGTTTACAAGTCCCTTTGGTCCTTGTGAACATATTCCCGGTCCGCATCAGTCTTTTAATGAAGTTAATACATCTCACTGTGCTTTGCGAAATACCAGTTACAATAACAGTTTCATCAATAGTAATAATATCAGTCATGTAAATGATCTCGGTAGTGGTGGGATAAATATGAAATCAGGAGAAGACTCTGTGGAAGTATCATGTCCATTAGCCAATGACAGTCATTTATACTCTAAAAAAGAAGAAGGTGTTGGTTCTGTTTCTCAGAGTGTAGGATCAGAGTATCAGGGAGCTATACATAAATGTAATACTTCTCTTTTTAAAAGTTTTGGGAAATCATTAGGGTTAATATCATCATTATCTCATCGTATTTCACATGTGATGACAACAGTGGCTCACACCACCGTAGGAGGACAACGTAACTCACAAGAAGACGCGGTGTGTATTCATGAACGAGTACCATTTCCAACAGAGTGTTCATTATCACAGAAAGAGAAAGATCATCATCATCATCATCATCATACTAATAGTGGAAAGGTCCATTTATATAATATGTATGGTGTGTTTGATGGACATAATGGGGATCGGTTATCTAATTTAGCTTCATTATATTATCTTGAGCATTTTAATGAGGCTCTTACCCGATCTGCATGGCAATATCCTTCTATAGATAATGCTGAAGAAGGATACACATCCGAATCTGCCACCATATTCAATAGAAGAGAAGAAGGTGGTACTAGTTCAGTTACGAATACCAATAGTAATAGTGGGATGAAAGTTAGTGGTAAAAGTGTAGGGGAATTGCCTATTACAGAAGAAACTATTCTTCCTCCACAACGGTTTGTAAGTAATGCACTTGTACAATCTCTTATTCACTTGGATCGTACATTATATGATACTGCGCGTGAGACTCAAAAACGATGTGTAGGCACTACGGCTGGTATTGTTGCCTGTTATGAAGGTACTTCTCCCACTCAGAGTGGTTGTATTCCTTCTTATATCTCTATTGCCAATCTTGGGGATAGTCGTGCGGTGTTGGCTCGTACTTCTGATGGATCTGTGTTGATAAGTACATTAGATCATCGTATTGCCACACATCCATGGGAGAAAACACGTGTGGCTCAGTGTGGAGGTTGTATTGAGTGTGATCGCGTAGATGGAGCATTGCAGGTAACACGATCACTTGGGGATTATATTTATAAATTACCACCAGAGCAGTGGGTCTCACAGGCAGAGATAGAGGAGAAGAAAAAGAAGAAGGAGGATTCCCGTAGTGAAATGATGTCTAGTGCTTTTGGTTCTTCAATGTTGGAGTGGATGAATACGACAGTACCCCAAGTAGATATTACAGTACCACTATGTGAGGATAATCTTATGAAAAGTAATGAGGATTTAACAGATCATCTATCTCCTGTATTTCAATCATTTTCACAGATTGGTGTTACTACAGCTACTACTACATCCAATAGTAATAATAATAATAATAATAATGATAATGATAGTGATTCTTGTGGTAAAAGGTTGAGATATTGTTCCATCTCTGCAACTCCACATCGAGATTCTGTAGCTCCACTTATTCAACTAGAAGATTCAGAAGCTGAACCCTGTTTAACAAGTAATATCGTTAGCAACATTGCAGATGTATACGAGGCTGAATTGAAAGGTGATGAGTTTCTTGTTTTAGCAACCGATGGACTGTGGGATCATATGAGCACAGAGGAGGTTGTGGACTTTGTACGTACCCGTCTTCTTCACTCTGGGATTCTGAGTGGAAATCGCCCTTTACAATCACAACAACAACAACAACAACAAGAAAAAGAGAAGGAAGAAGAAGAGAAGGAAGAAGAAGAAGAAGAAGAAGAAAACGAAAACGAAAAAGAACAAGAACAAATGGATGAGAGTGTGGAGTTGTTAGTTCTCTCTACAGGGTGTTCACAGCAGTTACCGGCCTTTACCTATTGTGATACCCTAAAGGCCCCACAGGATGGGAGACAAACACCTCCACCTCCAACCCCACCGCCACTACCACCGCCGCTCTTATCAATTTCTTCTTCACACGATTGCCCGCATTTCTCTTCTTCGGCGTTATTACATGTGAGGTATAATGGATCAGATGATGTTGGAGGAGAAAGTCAAGGGACCGATAGGCGTTTTTCCACTCCACCACCCCAGTGTATGCTGAGTAGAAGAGAGGATCGAATGAATTTGAATAGTTTTAGATTTGCAATGAATGAAAATAATAATAATAATAATAATAATAATAATAGTGATGCGCATAAAATGTCTCCAGGGACACCTACAAATAGTGAGGCATCTACACAATATTGCGGGAATTCACTTCGGCATGTTTTGCAGGAAATTGCGAATAGTCTAGCTGATCACGTTGTACATGATTTACATAGTGGAGATAATGTAACGATAGTACTGCTCGTATTTCATTCTAGTGATGAGTATCAAGGGGGAAGTATCAGATAATAAATAATAAATAATAATTAATAACACCAAAAGACGGACGACAATTTCTATTAGCTAATGTGAAGGTTATTTATTTTATTTACGTTGATTTCACTACTTTTTATTTTATTTTTATTTTTGTTGATCTGCTTGTGTAAAGAGAAGAGGTAAAAAATAACATCAGAAAGACGAGAATTGGGGGTGGGGTGAAAAAAAGGGTGGTAGGGGGATACGAAAAAACGAAGGGGTGTTGACTACTTTAAATAAAATGGGAAGAATAACATGTGTATAGGTGATTTGTGGATTGAAAGAATTCCCATATCAAATGACTCTTTTTTTTATTTTTATTTTTACATATTGTTACTAATATCAATACTATAAATGTTGAGGATCTTCCTCTTGTATTTTTTGCAGCTCTTTCTAAGGAATTAGAGGTACAACAAAACATATATATAGAGAGAGATATATATAGAGAGAGAGAGCAGTAAAGAAAGTGGGTAGATATATATATATATATATATATCTGCACATGTGGACAAAAGCTACGTGGAATGATGACGTTGATGTCTACCATTCATTACATTGTTTTTAGAAATGATAAAAAAAAAAAAACTACTGAAAGGAAAAAAGGAAAAGAGAATAAAATGTTCTGTTTTATCTTCTTAATATCTTATTCTATTTGTAATGTGTTTATATTCTTTTTTTTCTTTTTCTTTATTTCTCTCTACCCTTTATTATTTTGCAATTTTATTAGTGTTATATTAATCTTCATTATTCTTCCTCGACAGCTGCCCAGAGGATAAAAAAAAAAAAAGAAAGAAAGAGAGAGAGAAAGAGATCTATTGAAGTGGAAGCCTATTGGTGCTGATCAAAAAAAGAAAAAATAATAATAATAATAGTAACAAGTGTGTGTCTTTATTCTCTGCAGCTAAGCAACACAAACATAGTGAAAAAGGAGAAGGAATAAAGAAAGAAGAAGAAAAAAAAAAAAAGTATGTCTTCTGCGGCGACGGACTTTGTTTCCTTTTTCGTTTCTTTTAGTACGGGTGTTGTCGTTACTTTACTCTGGTCTCGTGCGGGTGGCCCTTGTTGTTTCTGGTCTTCCCGGCTGCGAGCGAAGAGTCAACAGGCGAGTGCGTTTCTCGCCCACCGCGGGGAGCCGCTGAAGATGACTCTCGTCGTGCGAAAAGATTTGAAAATGGGAACGGGGAAGATTGCGGCCCAATGTGCACACGCCGCAGTGGCAGTAGTGGAGGATATACAAAGCCGTCGTCCTAGTGAAATGTACACAAACACAAAAGAAGGGGAAAAAGAAAAAGGCGGGGGAAAAGATCCATCGGAGTGGGATGTGGAGGATTTGAATGGATTGTGGGTATCATGGTTAGATGCGTGGATGTTCGCTGGCAGTACGAAAGTGGCTTTACAGTGTGAGAGTGAAGAGCGATTGATGGAGGCACTGCGGGCCGCCAAGCGGGAATCACTTCCACACGCTCTTATTCGAGATGCGGGCCGTACACAAATAGCGCCTGGCAGTAAAACAGTATTGGCAGTGGGACCAGCACCGGTCTCTCTTGTGGACCGCGTGACGGGGCATTTCAAACTCATGTGAATAATATAATTAAAA